ATAATGCCAGCTAAGTTTAAGCGCATATGGACTTGAATAGCTGAAGAACTTAGCCACTGGTAAGACAGAATAAAATGAGAAACGACCTTAAAGGAATGCATTCAGACTGTACACTTCAGTTTTAGCCGATTAAAGCTCAAGCAGCTGCATAGAATGCATGAAAAGTTCGTTCAGGGTTTCATGCAATGCCATGCTCACTCTCCGGATTCTATAGTCGATCGAATCCTCCAATATTGGTGACTATGTACCTTTGCCAGGTATGTTCTTCTAGTGGTACTTGAGAACGAGCCTCTCTGCAAGAATGTAACATCGCTTTTAGCAAAGTAGGAGAAAAGGGCATTGAATGTGATGAGGCAAAATAGTACAAAATAGTGAATGCACTAACGACTAGTGTGTAACTAACACTAATGAGTGAATACACAGTAGCCATCTGACTCACACGAGACAGGGTCTACAGTTTCTAAGGGACAGACGTCATAAATCGGTAGAACTCTATTGTTAACCTTAGATGACGATGACAAAACAGCAACAACCGAAATCGAGCGTTAACAGCGAGCCAAACTTTGCAAGAGTCATAAAAACAGTAGCTCGGAATTAAGTCGTATTTAATTATGATACTTTTATTGTAAGATTATAAGCATTATGACTGGTTTCCGGCTACGTCGTAAAATAATCTATAACAAGGCCTTCTGAAAGCTTACTTCAAGGGAAAAACTGAACTGACGAGGACTGAGAACCTTAAGATTCTCCGTTGTCGATGAGTACACCTATCCTTTCGAGGTACAATGTGTACTTATTCTCAGTTTCCTGAAGTCAGTCTCATTAAGTTACGGACGGCCTGATACTTGAATTAATTTCATCCCACTCCAAAGTAAGAGGATTTCAATTTTGAGCAGAAATTGTAAAGACAGTTCAACATGCTAATTAATTGCCACTTATATGACGAACTGATCACAAACAACGAAATCCACGTGTCAAAAGCTCAAAATGCAGAAAACTGTATTCGGTAAGAAGTAACAAATTTACATCTATTTTTATCTACGTTCATAGGTTAGATATGAGACGCAACAAACAACCTGGTGGTTATTTTGGCCCTTATCTATTTATCTAACGTTAATAAACCATAATTAAAAAGACAGATGTTATGGTGGTGTAATCAGGAGGCAGCGAGTCAGCAGTCTCAATTAAATTGGAGACGACGCTGGTTTTGATGGTTATATTGTTTCACATTGAGTTCGGTTCATTTCCTATTTGCTCCATCTGCACTGTGCGAGGAATGTATCAAATTATGGAGAGTGCATGAACCAACAGCTTCCATTTTGGTGAATAATAAGTACGGTTTTCCTAGTCTTTCAAAGTACCACAGATTCAGCGAATTGATTCAAGAATTGGCTTCTAATCGACCTCATCAGATTAATTCGAAAAGAGATCAACTCGAAGCACAATTTCCTTCGTTGTTCAAAATCCTTGTGGAAGTGCGGAATGTAATGCGGAACGGCGTCACATAAGTACTCAACGATGCAGTTCACTGTATGCAGAGGTATTTCTAACGTAACTTGTGCATGCGGATATTTTCTTGTTGCTGAGGGATTCCATCATTGGTCCATTGATGTTCATTGACAGCCGTGTACCACAGTTCTGGGAGTGGAGGTAAGAGTCACTGCCAACAGAGAAGATTATGAAGGCGTCCGCAGCCACCCTCAACCCAAAGATATTACACTATTGTACTGTATTGTGACAGATGAGGTAGATCTTTCCAAGTACCTTAAAGCAGTGTTGGCTACGGATGATAGTATTGATTGTGAGCCTGTGCATGGAACTTAAATCTGCGAATTCCGGCACTGGTACGCAGCGTGGAAACGTCTAGCTGTAAAAACTAATACGAAGGCCACCATCCTAAATGCATGGAATTTATCATGCCTCTATTCATCCGTTGTCTGGAGCGTCATGGCAGCTGTCAATAAAGCATCCTCAAAGTGTGACGATATCACCCGGTCATG